GTGAATCAAACCCTACTACCTTGATCTTTCTGATTTTATAATAAATATTGGCCTTTAAAATATATCATTCAACTTTTTTCTTATTCTTTAAGATTGTTTCAATATTTCTGGCTTTGCATTTGAATTTTACACTAAGCCAAATAATTTACCCAAATTTTCTGTGATTTTTATTGATTCTATCTTAAATGTACCACAGGGATAATTTGATAATGATATATCTTCAATCCATGGATATACACCCCCTGTTTTTTCAGAACCTTCTCTCCTTTCTCACAGTATCATTTGTAATCTTACACTATTTTCTTGGATATTTTCCAAAATAAAATAGTATCCCATGTTTGCATAATGTATATTCACTGTGCAGTGTGTCAAGCAATGGATAGTTCTAAACTCTATATTTTAGGTTTATTCTTATACATGCTTGTCTATAATAAGGTTTAACTTATAAACAAAACATGGTAAAAGATTAACTAAAATAGCAAATAATATAATAGAAAAAGTATAACAAATTACATTAATATGTATTATATAAATGGTCTCTCTTCCTGTCTCTCTTGCAGTTGATAAATATCTGAAACAAAAGAAAGTGAAAGCATTGATAAATGAAGTGAAGAAACTGTATTTGAGTATTTTTGTGCTATTTTTAAGTGGTAGCATCTTATGTGCAAGAATGTTGTAACTTAAAATTTATTTTATTTAAGTAATTCACAAACAATAAAATACACTCATTTACAGTTTCAATTTAACCAATATTTATGCACATGACTGATGAAACTAAAATTTAAGCTAATATTTCTCCCATAATATTTTCTTCATGATATTTTCAAGTTAATTTGATTAGCAGTCAGCTCCAACACATCTCTGATTCAATTTCTGTCCTTCAGAATGATTTTACCTTTCTAGAATTTCATATCAATGAAATAATACAGTTTGTATTTTTAACATATGTGCTGCTGAGGTGAGTATACAATTTGTACCTTTTGCATTTAGTTTGTAGGCATGTTTTATAGATTTACCTATGTCATTTCATGTATCAATAATTCATTATTACTACAAAATTCCTCTCTATGGATACATCCTCTCTATGTTCATCTATGCAGTGTTAGAGTATATATATGGTCTCTTTAACTTGCCTTATGAAAAATTTGCTAAAACTATTCATCAATAAATTCTTCAGAGATGTATTTGCAATGATTCTTAACATTACCAGCATTTGGGGAGTATATATTTTTTTCTTTGAACCAGGGATTGAACTCACAATCTTGTGCTTACCAACCAAGTGCTTGAGCCACTGAACTAAACTCCCAGAACTGGATTATATTGTTTACACATGTCTTATATTCTTTAATACATTGCTTGAGTTATAGTATCAGTTTTGCACTCCATCAACAACAGGTGAAAATTTCAGCTACCGTGTATACTCTTGAAACATTAAAATTTGTTATTTTGCCAATTCTCCTCTGCAGGTTCAGCTCATCATTAATTTAATTTGCATTAACCTAATGACAAACAGTATTCAATATTGAGGATCATTTTGTGCACTGATAGTTCATTTGGGAAATTGGGCATAACATACAGGTCTGTTGTTGATTCCCCATTCTGTCCCAGAAAGCTATATATCTATTCTTAGGCCAATATTGTACTGTATTGACTACTACATATTTATGATGCCTTAAAATAAGGTAGCAAAAGTACCGTAATGTAGTATTTTATGTGCCCTTATAGATCTTAATTACTTATGGCTACAATATGAAGGTAACTTTTTTCATATTGATTTTACATGTTCTTATCTTTAGACATATATGTTGTAACTATGAGCAGTTTTACTTTTATTTTACAAACTTTGTGCCTTTTACTTACTTTTTACTTCCTTTATCTAGGTTTTCCAGTGAAGTGATAAAAAAAAATTAAGAATGTGTATAACTGTGGGTTAAGGACTTTCTTTTCTATACCTAGTTTCCTTAGGATCTTTATCATGACATTGAATTTTGTGAAATCCTTTGTCTGTGGCAAAATCAAACGAAAATTATGAACAAAACTCCAAAGAAGGATATTTTATTTAGGAAGAAGCAAACAATAGGATTACAACCGATACAGTGAAGAGGCTGTGGTAGTCTACAGCATACCTAAAGACAAAGCAAAGGTTAGGATTTTATTAGGGAAAGAGTAAAACTATGTAAATTTTTTCAAAGAAAACTCTTTTGGCACTGGTGGGATCAGGTGAGGTCAGCGAGGGCTGTTTGGCAAGAGGCTGCAGTTAGCAGATAAAACTCTTCTTATAGTCACAGTAAGCTGCTTCATTGGATTTGGTATGAGGACATTGAGTTAACAACCATTATTTTATAAGATATGAGCTGTCCTAGAACTTCTGGCTATCCTTGAACTGATAGCTCCTGCTGTTAGCATAATCATGTATGACAGCCCATCCTTCATGGTCTATTTCCATTTATCATGGTTAGACACAGATGCATCTTCATTTTGAACCTGACAGCTTTCATATCTGCAATCTACTGAGACGTTCATGTATCTAAAAAAACAAACAGTACTGAATTAATATAGTAAATATTCATATTTTTTTCAATGATAACATTGCATTCTAGAGATAAGCCACATCCCAAATCTGGTATGGAATATAATTTACTTATGTTTTCTTGCGGATTTGATGTTTGTAATCTTGAGAATACTCACTTGTGTTTTTTTTTAAATTTTATTTTAATATATTGACTTTGAGATTTAAAAGATACTGACCTTACAAGACAAATTTTAAAATGCTTTTTATTGTCTTGTTTGCTAAAGGAAATGTCTGAAATTGGCTAAATTTCTTAAATATGTGACATAATTTGTCACTGAACACATCTGAGGCAGGATATTTCTTGTTTGAAAAATTTAAAATATGAAATCTATTTATTTATTTTGTATTCTTGAGACAGGACTTTGCCATGCAGTTTGGGCTGTAATTAAACTCCCTTGTAGGCCAGGCTAGTCTCAAACTTGCAGTTATCCTCCTGCCTCTGCCTCTGAAGTGTTGGAATTACAGGCATGTGCCAGCATGAAAAGTAAACTCAGTTTCAAATGTAGTATTAGTGTGGTTTTAAAATTACTTTTTGTATCATCTTTGATGAATTTTCTTTCTCAAAGCTGTTATCCATTTCAAATTAGCAGTTTGAAGATTGGCATGAAGATGAATGTAATATTTTTATCAATCTCCTAATTATTTTTATGAAACAAAAATGAAATCTTCCCTGATAGTGTAATTTGTGTCTCCATTTTATATTTTTTCCTGTTCATATCTAGCTAGGTACTTGTCAGTTTCATTCATATCTCCTTGGTTCTTAGTGAACCAGATTTTAATTTCATGACTTCGTTCCATTGTTTGCTTCTATTTCATTGATTATTTACTATAATGTTTACCTTTTACTTGTTACATATTAGGTCTTTGAATATTCCAAGTATTTAATATGTAAGAGTATACTAGCAATTTTTATCTTAATGTGAATATATGAGAATAAATGTTCCTCTAAGCAAGAGTTTTGGCTGCATTTAAGAAATTTGTAAATTGCTGCATCTTTATTATTCAGTTGCAAATTTTCTAGTTTCCCATGTGATTTTTACTTGGTTCACAGACTAAAAGAGAATTTTTAATTTAGTAGTAGTAGGTAGGCTTCTATTGTGTTGATGTTTTTGTTAAAGTCCCAAACAATGTACTGTGACATTATAATCATCTTATTCTTATTCATAAAATCATCCTACTAAACTGTAGCACAATAGTGATCAGAAAGGTAGTGTAACTACCCCGTTCCTACTTACAGGAACTGAGCTAAGGAGTTTACTGTGAATCAAAGGGAATTTTTCCCTGACTCATCATTGAACAAGAATGAACTTCTGTTGAGTTTGAATCATTGTAGACAGATTGTGATGACATTTACCTAATGCCTATTAAATTCTAATTATAATGGTCAACAAATACTTGTATGCTTTTAGTGTAAAATGTAAAACATTAAATACTTTATTTTTAAATTTAATTTAAATTTATATAGACAAGTTCCATACAATTTCAATTCTCTTAAATTTAGATTCATTTCATAATACAGGAAATAATTTATCTTATTGAATATTCCATATGCACCTAACAAAACACATTTTTCTGTTTTGTGGTTTAAGGTGGAAACATTAATATCTTATTGTAAGTCTTGAAAAACATGCAATGTATTTTTATATTGATAGATAGTAATTGTACATTGCTATGTGGTACAGTGTATTGTTTCAGTGAAATTGTATATTTTGTAATGATCAACTCTAGATAGGAATCATCTGAAACACTTTTCAAATTTGGTGATGAAAACAAGTAAAGTCCTCTTTCAAAAGTTGAGGCTGGGGATTTAGCTCAGTGGCATAAGTGCCTGCTTATTAAGTGTGAGACTGTGAGTTTGATGCCCAGTACCACAAAAAAAGTATTTTTAATCATATAATAGTACTGTTTGCTGTGCCACCCTTGTATGTCCTTGTATGTGATAGAATACCAGAACATATCTCTTCTATCTGGCTGTGACTTTGTACCTGTTTACCAATCTTTTTAATCCTCTCTATAGTCCCTGCCATGTGGAAACTATTATTCTACTTTCTGTTTCTATGAATTCAGATTCTTTTTAGATTCCACATATCAATGAGTTCATGAAGTACTGATCCTGTCCTTATATATTTTGTGATCATATTAATTGTATGACCATTAGGTCCATACACACTGCTGCAAACATCAGCACTCGGGTGTTCATTCTAATATCTGAAAGACTCCATTGTTCTTGTGTAACATTTTCTGTATTTGTTCTTTTATGGATGGATATTTAGGTTGATTCCTTTTCTTGCCAATTTGAATTGTGTTTTAAAAAGACGTGGGAGCTCAAGTGTCTCTTTGACATGTTGATTTTGTTTCTTTTGCATATTTACTCAGTAGTGTGATTGTTAAATCATATTGTGGTTCTATTTTTGATTTTTTTTTTCAGGAATCTCCATAATGTTCCACAAGCGTTATACTAATGTACGTGTCTATCCACCGTATCTAAATGTTCTCTTTTCTCCATATCTTTGCCATCATTTATTTATTATCTTTTGATAATAACCATTCTAACTCCAGTAGAAAATATTTCATCATGATTTTAATTTGCATTTGTCTGAAGTTTAGTGACTTAAAGCACATTTTCATATGTATTTTGGTATTTTTATGTCTTCCTTTGAAAGATATTCATTTAATTCTTTAATCCATTTTAATTAATTTTTTGGGTTTTATTTGATGCTATTTTTTCAGTTGTTTGAGTTCTTCAGAAATTCTGTACAGTTTCCTCTTGTCCTATGTGCAATTTGCAAGTATTTCACCCCATTCTTTAAACTGTTTCCTAATTCTATTGTTTCTTTTGCTGTGTGGAATATTTTAGTTTGATGTAATACATTTGTCTATCATCATTTTGGTTGCCTGTAATTTTGATGTCTGACCTAAAAATACCAGGCTGAGACAATGTTACGTAGCATTATGTGTATATTTTTCCTAATACTTTTGTAGTTTTATTTAGTATATTTATCTATCTTTATAGATGAGCAGCTTTCCATTGTATAAAATGTCTTAACTTTCTTATGCATTCTGCAGTTGTTGGGCAAAATACTCTTATTTTTTTCTGGTTTCCTGTCACATAGAGCATTGTTTTCTCTCCTTTGACTTTCAGTCCATGAATTTTATTTTGAGTTAAATGTGTTTCTTGTATAAAGCACACAGATGGATCCTGTCTCCCGAACCACTCTGTCTATGTTTCTTTCTATTGGTGAATTGAGGCCATCTAAATTGATGACTGTGACCAACATGCACTGCCCTGCCTCCTCCTTGCTGTTTTCCTGCCATTAGCTGCCTACTTTTCCCCTCCATTTTGTGTATATTTTTCCTAATACTTTTTTAGTTATATTTAATATGTTTATTGCTTGTCTTCCTTGGTGATCCCCTTCTGCCAATATTCCTAGATCCCTGTTCATGTCCATCTATCTCTATAATGTCTTTCAATATTATTTGTAGGGTTCATTTGGTGGTCATGAATTCTTTCAGTTGTTCTTTGTCATGGAAGTATCTTGTTTCTTCGTTAATTTTAAAAAGACAGTTTTCAGGGTACAACAGTCTGGATTGGAAGTTTTTGATTTTGTTTTTGTTTTTTTTTTGTTTGTTTTTTTTTCAGGACTTGAAATGTATCACACCAACCTCTTCTTGCTTGATGGTTTGTGTTGAGAAGTTTGTCATGATTCTGATGACTTCTCTTTTGTAGGTGATCTCAATATGTCAGTTCCTTTTCCCATGCTTGGAAAGTTTTCTATTATTACTTCTATAAATAGACTTTTTATGTCATATGTGTTGACTCCTGCTTTTTCACTGACACCTATCACTCTTAAATTATGTTTCTTTGTGTTAACCTGAAGCCAATGAATTGTTATTTCCTGATTCCTTGTTGTTTTCAACAGATCTTTCCTTTTGTAATAGCCAGGTGTGAGTCTATCTTCAAAGTCAGAAAGTTTATCTTTAGCTTCTTTCAAGAAGCTTTGCCAAATTTCAGAGGAACTCTTAATTTCTTGGATATTTCTTTGATTCTGCTTCATGCATTCTAAATCTTTCTTATATTGTTCATTTATAGTGCACTTAATTTTCCTATGCTCCTCCATTCTTTCAATCTATGTCTTCTGTAGAAATACTCAGCAACTCTTTTATCATGTTTTTTTATTTCTTCTTTTACCTGAGATAGTATTTCTGTTCTAATTTCTTTTATATCCCCAAGAAATTGTTTATTTCAGTTTCCCTAACTTCAGAAGCTTCAGGTGTGTAACTCCCAGTCTCTTTCATGTTTATATCTTCTGGACTTGCTCTGTATGGGATGGAGGCCAGAGACTGCCTATTGCTTTTTTATCTTGATATTTTCCTGGGTTCTTCTGAATTAGTAGATAATGGGATCCTAGACACCTCATGTACTGATATAACTTCTTTAAAGTGTGACTGGCTGGTTCTTCTGACTGGTGCTGTTTATGGATATCCAAATTTGGCCATTGGGTTCACTAGGGCAGGGCTGGCTGCTGCTTTTCCCAGCCCACGCTGGCTACCTACAGGAAGCTCCCTGATGGCAGCCAGTATGGGTATGAGGGTGGAGTTGGCTGCTGTTTCTCCCTAACAGGGGTGGATCCGGAAGGAAGTATCCCCAATAGCTGCTGGTGTGTGTGCAAGGGCAGTTCTGTCTGTTGCTTCCAGCTGTATTAAATTTTACGACCCATGAAAACAATTTATTTTTTCCTCAACTTATTCCATGAGTTTTACATAGTTTTCCTTGTAAAGTGACTTTATTGCCATGATTAAATTTAATCTTAGGATTTTTATTTTGAGACATAAAATGTATGATTTTCTAGATTTCTTTTTCAGATTATTTATATTATTATACAACAGAGCTCTAGAATCTTATAGAATCTTGAATTTGTATGCAGCAACAGTACTGAGTTTGGTTATTCATTTAATTTTTTTTTACAGAGTTTTCATCTCTCTGAGTACATCACATGCTAGCAGGAACAGACTGATTTTCCCCTTACAATCTAGATGCCTCTTATGTTCTCTTGCCTCATTTTTCTGGCAGGAAGTTCTAGAGCTGTGTTGAATAAAAGTATTAAAAATGAACATCCTTATATTGTTCTAGATCTTTCAAAGCATTCTGTTATGTCGTCATCACTATGTTAGATGTATGTTTGACCTAAAATTATTACAGTAGAATAAATTTGTCATTAATCCTCCTCATAATACTGACTCTTACTTCAAGCCTACTCATCCCATCTTCCTTGCTCCTTTCTGAAGCAATTCTTGAAGTCCTCCTTTGGGTCTTAATTGCACTTTTTGTTGCACTCCCTTGCTGTCCCAAATCATTTCAAAATGTTTAAATTTCAACTTCTTTTATATTCTGGAGAGAAATCAGATGTTACATGGTGCTTAATTATGTGAATAATGTAGATAAGAACATGTACAATTGATTTTTCAGAAATTAATATACCAGAAGTTATGTTACTCAAAGAATCACCATAATTGAAAATGAAAACATGCACATGGCTATTAAGTGCTCTAGGAAGGCTTAGTAATAGGCATAACTCATTATAATGTTCCTGGAAAAAATGTCAGCTTGAAAAATTCCATCAATTTCAAAAACAAAGTCAATGTCACACTGATGTTGGATTTTGATTGATAAACTTATGTTGCACAGTGAGAACTGAGTGATTTCCTTTGAACATTCTGAGCTGTAGTCTCAGAATTATAACAACAGACCCAGTTTTATCTCCCATGAGGCTATTCCTTAAATGCTGCAATCTAGAATGACATATTGCATAAATCCAATATAATTTATTGTTTATGGTCCATAATTGAGGCATGTTTGAAAACATACTTTCAGCCATAGCTCACAGATGACTGACTGGAGTCTTGTCACACAGTGTTACTAAGGTTCAATGCTTTATTTCTCTTTATTTGAATCCATTCTGTTGGCTGGCATGAAGTAGCAACATTCACCATATTTTTTGAACACACATTATATGATCTTTATTGTGCTGAAATTCATTCCTTCCATAGATAATTAATTTAAAGTTTTTTTATCATATGTGTTGAATTTTATCAAATAGTTCTCATTAATTTATTGAAATTATTACAGAGATTTTGTTCTTGATTCTGTTCATGAGACGTATCACATTCCTTGCTTTGCCCAGGTTGAATCTCCCTTGCATCTCTGACATAACTCACCTTTGTCAATTTGTTTGCAGAAGTAATCTTTCCTTCTATATTTTCCAAATTGCTGGTTATACTTTTTCTTAATAGCCCCTTATGATTGCTTTTATCTCTGTGTTGTAATGTTTCCTTTTATATCTCTGATTTTATTTCTCTAGATCCCTTTTAATTTTATTAGTTAAGCTAGAGATTTGTTAATTTTATCTTTTCCAAAAGCATATCTTGATTCCCTGATTTTTATATTGTGCTTTTACCCTCCATTTCATTTATTTCAGCTTCAAACTTTATTACTTCTTTCCTTTACTAACTTTAGGTTTAGTTCATTCTTATTAATTATTTAGTTTTAAATCTTTGTTGTTTATTTCTTGAGATTCCTTGTGACATTATTTATTTAAGGTGTTTATTGCTATAATGTTTATCATAGAGCTCTTTTTGTTGTACTCCAATGAGATTTCTTAGACCATGTCTCCATTTTCACTTGACTCTAGAATCTTAAAAAAAAAAAAAAAATTAAGGGTGAATCTGAATCTTTCCTTTAGAACTGTATACACTTCAATTTCTATAGCTGAAATCCCTTCCCCATTTCTTTTTCTTTCTTAATGGGAAGACTTAACAGTGGTCAATGGTGAGCCCCTTTTACATTTCAATTTTTCAACATAAATTCTCTTGCTTCCCAAATAAAGATTTAAAGTAAAAAACATATTTACTTTAAATTTCTTTCTTAACTTATTTGTTGTACAGGAGTATGTTTTTAAACTCCAGGTATTTATGCAGTTTCCTAATTTTGTTGATTTCTCGTCTTACTCCATTGGACTAGAAAAGGTACTTGACATGATCATGGTACTTTTAATTTCTTAAAACTTGATTTGTGGCTTATCTCACTGTTACATCTGCTCTTGAAAATCTATGCATTCTGCAGTTATTGGATGAAAATTGCATAAATATTGTTAGTTCATTTGTCTAAACTGAAGTTTCAATATGATGTTTCTTCATTAATTTTCAGTCTGAATAATCTGTTGCTAAAAGTGAGTGTTAAAGACAATACTATTAAAATATTGTAGTCTGTGCCTTTAAGTCTCCTAATTTATGCTTTGCTGATTTAGCTTCTTTAAAGTCGAGTGCATATATATATATATATTTTTTTTTTTACAATGTCCTGCTGCATGACTGTTTTATCATATAATATAATATGACTCTATAGTTTTTTTCACTTGAAGTCTGTTTTATCTGAGCTTTTCAACTGATATTTTGTATCCTTTGAACTACACCTCTCTTTCCCATCCCTCTTATCATCCCCTACTGCTGGTAACCACCATTCTACCCCTGCTTTTATAACTTCAAATGTTTAAAATATAATGCAAGTACACACCCTTTGTCTCACCTCAGGCAGTCCTCAAATACGCCTGATGAATGGAAACAATCGCTGTGAAGGGAGAGTGGAGATCCTGCAGCAGAGATCCTGGGGGACCATCTGCCATTTCCTCTGGGACCTAAAAGATGCCCATGTGGTATGCAGAGAGCTGAGCTGTGGAGTGGCTGTTGAAGCCAAGAACTCTGCTTTCTTTGGTGAGGGATCAGGCCCTATCTGGCGAAGTGGCCTCCAATGCACAGGAGATGAGTCCCAGCTGATGAAGTGCGGACACTTTGCCGATATAGTACAGTATTGTGGCCATCGGCATGATGCAGGAGTCATCTGTTCAGGTAGGTCAGCATACTTTCTATTAGGTAGGAGAATAGAAAGGTTCTGGAGAAAACTGAGGATTAAAAACAAAAGACTCAGAGGGCAACCCATAGACCTGACTTATCAAATTAGCAGATGATGATGGATTTCATTTAATTAGTTCTTATAAGTCTCAACTGAACTTTGTCTCACCAGTGGTCTTATTTGTAAACTTTATTTTTATCCTAATGTCATAGGTAAAGATTCATTATTTCATTTTTATAATTTGCTTATGATTTAAAATATGTGAATTAACACAGCATCTCTATGATAATAGATTATTTCTTGCAGAAAGAAGGACAAGAATGAAGCTCTACTTTCTGTGATAGTACTGAGTGTTGCTAGATGTATAGCATGACACATGCTTTACACTATTTCATAGCTCTATAGACACAGCAGATAGATTAAAAATTCACTGGGTAATCTTTGAATTACTGAAAATTTGAAAGTCTCCTTTCCAGACTCAAACGTAAGTATTCGTAGCCCTTTGGTGAGAAAGACAAGACAACTGTGAATGAAATGCTCTTGATCCTAGATTTCTCTGTCATCGTTATAATGATAATAACAATAATTTCTCTCAACATTTTTCTTTCATTGGAATACACTCAAAGTTTGTAGGAACACTTAATCACGTGGTAGCAGGTCAGCAATGATAGCTACAATTAACTCCCAAGGTGTTCACGTTGTGGTAAAAGATGACATTCTACTTGAAGTCTTCATAGGCATAAAAGAGATGCATTGTGGGATTCATTTAGTGAAATTTACAGCATAGAGACAGGTGGAATTCTTATAGTGTGTAGAAGAAAATTATAATAGCTGAGGTTGGCAAAAAGAGCTAAGTGCACATTCCGATTCTCAAAAAATACTGACTCTCTAGTATAGGGTGAATAATATTGTGTATATATATTTATGAGTTCTGTATGGATAGTTATAGGGGAGAAGAATGGATTCATAGGCTCAGGGTAGAGGTTCTTTGTGGGTCATAATGGTGAAAGAAATGGGCTCAGTGACAAAATTTTCTTAATAAATTTGTCTGTATGATAAATGATTGACAGAAGCCTATATGGCTGCATGTTTTTCATTTTGTCTGCAGAACAATAAATTCATAGTAGTGTGTAATCTGCAGGAACAGTGTTTCTTTCTTTATCCAGCAAGCTTTCATGAACTCTTCATATATCTTAAAATCTTTACCTGTTTTTCCTGGAAATAAAGCCTCCAAAGAACAAGCTCTCTGTTCTTTCATGATTTCTATTTGAGCACTTATCAAATTTCCTGAAACGTGGCATCTGAAAAGACATCTGAATTGTGAATGAAATAGCATGAACGTGAACTCAACATTGCTTTCAAACATATCTTCTCTACCAGTATTAGACATCTTTGTATGTTGTAAAAGGAAACTCCTTACATAGGCTAAAGTAAAGACAAGCTTGTTTTTGCTACTGGTTCTGAAGTCTGATTGGCTTGAAACTCTGGCTAATGAGGCATATCATATAAAGAGAATATCATAGAGCAAGAGATCATATCATACACCTGGAAGCAGAAAGAGATATGGAGAAAGAGACCAAGACCCACAATCCACACTGAAGGCACAGCTTGAAATGACTTAAGGACCTTCCACTAGGCATCCCTCCAAAAAGCCCACAGCACTTCTCAACACTGGCACCCTGGAGACTATAATTTTACATGTCGATTTGAGGGACATTTATCTAAGGCACAGCACTAACAAATCTCAGACATATGCAGAGAGACTATGGATATCTCCTATTCAGCGCCCCCACTTTATGTATACACAAATTAGAGGCCATCTCAGCTCTACCTAGTCCTACAGTCAGCCAATCCCTCTCCCCGTGCTGCAACTAACAAAAAAAAAAAAAAAAAAAAAAAAAAAAAAAAAAAAACTGTTTTATCAGGCAGACTTTCATCACTGTAATAAAGTACCTGAGATAGCATTTTAAGAGGGAAATCTTATGTTGCCTAATAATTTGTAGCTTTGTTTAAATGGTCCACGGGCTGTATTTCTTTTGGATCATCATGGTAAGAGTGTATTGTGAATGAAAAAAGAGAAAGAAAGAGAAGAAATGATGAGACAGTCCATTTCTCCTTCACATATATTTCCCAATAACATAACATCACTCAATAAGCCTCATAAAGGTTCCACCACCTCCTGATATCAACATGGGCTAAGGACCAACTTACATGTGGGCCTTCAGAGGACATTTTAGATCCAAACTCTAGCAGTCATGATGATCATTTCTGGGTTTCAAAAATGAAGAGGAAGAAGGGTAAAAGGGCAAACTAGGTCTTCAGGAAAAATACTTTGATCTTTGTAAACCCTGAATTATCAAATACCTTTACCGTATGGAGACATTGCCAGCATCTGCAACAACACACTGTACTGTTGCACATGAATAGCAGAAGTCCAGCGTTAAGAATGAGGAGGCAGTGGGGCTGGGGATTTAGCTCAGCGGCATAAGTGCCTGCCTTGCAAGCAGGCAGTCGTGAGTTCGATCCCTGGTACCGATAAAAACGAAAAAGACAAAAAAAAAAAAAAAAAAAAAAAAAAAAAAGAATGAGGAGGCAGAATGAAAAGTGAGACTGATTAGAGGAAGATAACTCACAGGTAGAGCAGAAAAGTGGATGGAATCCCATCAGAGGGAAAGAAATGAAGTTGTGATTTGAATGGAGACCTGATCATGACACCTGAACTGTGTCTCTAGAATGTTGAGTTCTTCATTTCTAATAGTAAAAGGAGGTTAAAAAGCTATTTTCATTGGTTAAAAGATCTCTATGCAGAAACTGAGATGTGGAGAAATGATGATCTCTCAGCCTCTGGAGCAGCTATGGGAGGAGTATCTTCTTAAAAGTGTGATATCATGAAATTCTCCTGGGACTTAGGCTGCTGTCAGTCTTCCACCTGGGCTATGTTTTGAAAATGGAGGCTACATAGGAGACAAAGATCAGGGACAACTGAAAAAAAAATGAAAGACAGTGAATATGGCATTAACACTGATCCTAAAGGAAGAGGACATGTGCAGTCACTGAGATGTGGAATTGCAGCTGGGACTACAGAAGACAAATCTGGAGGCCAATTGCATTCTCTAACTCTGTAACCTGAAACAATCTCATGATCCGCACCAGTGTCTATTTTTATGTCATAAAATAAGGACACCATGCTTACTCAACCTCCAGTGTTATGTACAGCTTCTAATCTCTGCAAGAGACAATGGACAGACTGTACTTAGAATGTTTAGAATGTGAGTCTCTAGGAGAGAGTTATAGGAGGTAAAAGAAATATTGACAGTAGATTTATGATAAATAATACCAAATATATACAGTATCATCTTTACTTAGAATAAAATCAATCTTCTCCTTATGCCTTCCCTAGCAATTGTGCATCATTATACACATGCAACAGTAGGCACAAAAGAGGACTTCTGCTGTCATATGTCAAACATACCAGGGATCTTCAGTCATTTTTAGTCCCAAATCACCAAGCCCAATAGGTGACTTGTGACTGAAATAATAAGGATAGTCATAGTCCACTTGATTTGGACCTGGATACCTTTGAATTTCTTGGTTGAAGAAACGATGTATCTCTGTGATGATGTGTCTAGTCCAGTAAAGTTCAAAACATCAATTCCACTATTAGGATGTTTTAAGCTAATTTTTTTCTGTATTGGTCTTTTGGAGTTTCCAAGAATTAAGTTAAAAGTATTCATTTTTATTCCATTGGTCACTAGTAAAATCGCTTTTGCTCTTCTATTTACTTTGACTAATGCCATGTCCTGACATTTTTAAAGTTAAACCCATTAATGCAATGAGCAGCTATAAAGTAACATTTACTGTGAGTCCAGTCTTCACACAGAAAGTTCATCTGCTCTCATTTGATGTGTCAGTGATAAGTTTAGTGAGGGGTTCCACATCAGTTATGACCATGTAGAGCTCACATATGTGGAGGAACAGTACTTAAAGTAAATATAAGTGGATAATGCAACATACTCTTATAATCCTAGTGTTCTAAGAGACCAAAATAGTAGGATGAAAAGTTTGAAGGCAGTTTAAGCAATCTATGGACTTAATAATACTCTGAAAAGAAAAAAAATATAAAAAGAGAGTGATGATGTAGGTCAGCGTTAAGGCACTTGAATCAACCCTCAAAAATAAATAAATGATATCAAACATATAGAAATGTATATAATATTTCAAATGAAACTACAGTTGATTCTAGTGAGCCAAAATGCTAGTTTATCTCACATGACACCATCTATGCAATGTTTAGATTATTAATACTTCACTCCTCACTAAAAGGACTTGTCTTATGCAGGTATTAGAATTATTTATCATGTGTTATCTAGTCACCATTGGTTGACATGATTGAAACAATTTGTATTCACAAATATGGAAAAAAATTTTTTCTTGCTGTTATTAACCACTTCTTTATCCTTTAAGACAAGCAGGATGTCCCACTAATAAAATTCCTTGCCCTGGAAAAGTTGATCAGACTGTAAGATGGCTCTGGTTTCTTAATGAGATGGATCAGATGCAGTAACTGCCATTGAAGTTTTAAAAAAATTAGTTAATGCAGAGAACTGAGATGGTGTTCATTTTATCCTACTGTCTACATTTAATTGCTCAATAATTACTTAAAGTCTCTCACTTTTTCCAGTATGACTTAATCCAGTATGACTGTTTTTAGAAGAGGAGAAAGAGATACAGGATAGGTACAGGGAAGGAGGCTATATGAACACAGAGGCAGAGTAAAGTGATGAATCTACACTAAGGGACACCACAAGGATAATTAGTAAAGAACAGAAGCCAGAGAAGCAAAAAAGAATTCTTCCTTGGACTCTTCAGGAGGAAGAAACTCTGCTAATACTTTTAGTTCCAATTTTTATCCTTTAGAAATCTGACATAATGAAATTCAGCTAGTTTAAGGGGGGAGAATGTTGACCCAATCATAGAACAATGACAAGATTTCTGTTACACCACAGAAGTGAAAGACTAATCAGTATGAAAAATCATGGCCATGTTAGAGGGCATTCCATAGAGTTCATGTTAATAGTTCTAGAATGGATCTTCGTTACAATCAAACCTGAAGTTTTTCAAATAATAGATATTTCGATTCACAATGATACAATTTTATTTCACCACTTTAAAATTTATGTAATGGAGGGAAATATAAGGGTATAATTTTATTTATTTTAAATCTTTCCCTGAGTTTCTAATAATATAGCTCTATATTTTCCAATGATGTGTTATTACTATTTTAAATATAACCTTCTACATATGTATATGAAAACTTATAAATACAACATTCCACAAGTATGTTTCTTACAGTCTAGATTTCTGGCCAGTTCACTCTCATCCTATTATATATAGCATGATTTTTTAAACTATGTTAATATCTTACATATAGCTTATCACATTATGTCATGTTTTCATTTTATAAATTTCTTTCCAAATTTTACACTTCCATTTTGTGAACATTAAAATTCCAGTGGAAATAAAATGGAATAATAACAAAAGAGATATTAACTTTTGTTTTATTAAATACTACTTTTGTTAGAGTTAAAAATTTTCCTTTAAGATTATAAAGAATGTAACAATTTTTAAAACTTTCATAGAATACTTACTTGCCTGTGATCACAAATGTTTTTTTCATCTTGACTTTCTACTAAATGTCTATTTCCTAAAGGAATCAATCTCCATGACATGTACTGTAACCAGATGTTATGGTCATTCTTAATATTTCATTCACCTTGATCAAGGGATAGCCCACAACACAGGTGAGTCAATGGGAAACTGCCAAGAATTTACCTTCTCATAGGAATGACAGTGTAACAGCTGTAAAAAAGGCATGTGTAATGGTCTTTATAAATACACCTGAAAAGAGTATGTACATGAAGAGTATATACACAAAATACTCTGGAACTAGTCCCCATTCTTCATGCTGCCTTCTTAGCAGTTAATCTCTATTTTCACAGTTTTTAATTTTTATTAGAAGTCCACCCTTTCTGTGAGCTCTGCTACCCTTGCATGTCAAACTTATTGGAGTTGAGTTTCTATCATTTGTTATGAGAATTCACACTAAAAGACCCAGAATTTTATATTCAATGTTATATTTTTCACAAAAACTTTCAGATATTTATGTTTTGTTTTGTTTTACTTTGTTTTGTTTTTTGTTTCCTGGTACTAGGGATTGAACTCACTACCTCACACTTGCCAAGGAGGCACTTATGCTACTGAGCTAAATCCCCAGCCCAGATAAGTCATTTGTAATATTTTTCAATCGTCAAAAAAATGATTTGCTACTTAAATATTTGCAATTCATGAAGAAGACACATGCCAATTGTTTCAGACTCTACAAAAAGGTCATGTCAGGTAAATGCTGACCAATTCACTCCTTTTATGTCATATTCAATCCTTGGAATACTCCAGGTCCCAGAATGTAAGTAGGAAGACTCCTCTGACCAAATAATTTGGCATGTTATTATCAATATTGTAGAGAACCTACTATGGAAATCACCATATGAAATCTTTGTCATATAGAAAATTATTGAGACTATGATGCCTAATTTCTGGGTTCTTAAATAAGCAAAGACAAGTACAGAGGAAGAAATATATTTAATTGGTGACTTTATTTACCTTGGCCAGATGATAATGCAGAAGATAGAGAGTTGTTTATTTTTCTAGATTGCTACTTCCTGCTAACATGTTCCAAAAATATTATAATTTTCCGGTTATTAATCATGAAGGATTTTAAATCACTACAGTATAAAGGACAATTTAATTGAAGGTCTCAGCAGACCATAGTAATGCTCATATTTTTGAATCAGGTAATCTGGGTTTGTAGAACCATGGTCACCTGAACTTAAATGACATCTACACTGTGCACTCTGTGCACGACAATTTTCAATAAAATTTCTCACTTCCTGAGAACAGGAGGTAGGTTTTGCCTCACGCTAGAATTGTATATTGCCAGAACTTAATAATTATTCAATACTTTAAAAATATTAAAAGAAATGCACAAGTGATAGAAATACTATTTCTCAAGGCATTTCAAAATTTATGTTCAACATAATGCCTTATAATCAGCTGAAACCTTAAGATTGAGTTTAAAAATTTTACTCCTGCATTGGACTCTTTAGGATGGAGAAGTATTGAGTTCATTGATCTATGAACTGTGAAACAGGTGAGGTACACTGAGTGATTTATTTCTCAGAAATGTTTCCAATTTTCCAATGGTAATTAAAAAAACTCATTGCAAGAGTTCTATATTGTACAGGAAATCATTGTCTAAGACTCAGATAACATAATTTCTATGCAATTAAAAGGAACCAAAATTTGATACACTAAATTCCTCCCAGATAAAACTTAGTAATTGAGCCATTTCACCTACTTCTTGTAAACTAGAAATAGACTACTAAAAAGGAAAATAAACTAAATACCAGTGCAAAGGGCTAACTAACCCATGGCTCTGGTTCAGTTTGACACAAATAGTTATTCTCAGTGGTAGTGCTGTAGTGACTTCTAATGTGAAGCTGGACCTGAGTAGAGACCAAAACATTGAGAAAAAGGAATATAACTGCATACACAGACAGAGTTCACAGTCATTCAGTGTTTCTGTTTTGCCTGGGCTTGGGGAGGATTATCCCTATTGTACCAGTCCCTACCCATCAATATAAATCTTGATTTTTATGATAACTTGAAGGTCTCATACTCTTTACATATGTAAAACTCAATACATTTAGACATTTTAGTTTGTAACTCTTTGTTTGCATTCTGACTCTCCATGTAAGAAACATTATCATTTCCTTCAAACTATGATATATGTTCAAGTGATTTTAGATTCATAGCACAGAAATCCAACTTCACTTTAATGCATCAGATTCAGAGAGAAGTTAACAAGTTAATTGACTATAGTAATTTAGTCTACTAAATCACTACTTTATGAAACTAAATCAATATGCTTTTTATTCCTCCCATTGTGATGGCTAACTTTACAAATCAAATGTTCCATTGTTATTTTTGTAGCTGAGGAGGCAACCGTTTCTTACAATTACAATTCCCTAGTACACAGATTGATGGTTCCACAGCAAGTTCAGATCTCCAATCATAGACCTCCACATCTTTCGACTCATACTTGAAACTGCTTTGTCGTCATCATCACTAGGCAACTCACTGTTTCTTTGAGTGTCTTGATCTATTCTGATTAAATTCCTAATTTTTCTTCTTTACTAGGAATCATGAGGTACAGAATCTTAAATATTTTATTCACAATAACATAATGTTTATCTCAGTATCTACTTAACAAAACATTTTCTTATGTCTAACTGAAAGTAAACACAGAAGATTAGATGAAAACTCAAATGTTTTAATTCATTGCAAATAATGACTAGTTATTATAGGTAAATATTAACTGGGCATTATTGTATGGATATTAAAGTTTCTGAGCACAAAGAAATGATAGTAAAAAGCAAGTTCTTTTTCTACACTGAGTTAATGTGGAAAGGAGACACAAATCTATATGGGATGTATACTGTTTGGATTCAGCTATTGAGAAGTGCCCTAAAATTTGATTCTGAAATTGTCTTCATATACTTTCTCATATAATTTCCATTCTCACACCAACTGTCCACTAATCTCTTCCTAGATACACCACCTCTACAAAAAGAAAAGAACACCATACAATTGCCTGTAACTTTCAAATTCTAACTCACTACAAGGATCAGTCACTGAGTTCATTTTTTCCTCCTTTAGGATTTGTGCGACTTGCTGGAGGATTTGGACAATGCTCAGGACGAGTAGAAGTGAATCCTGGAGGAAAGTGGACTCCAGTGTCTGGTGTGAATTTCATATTTCCCACTGCCCAGGTCATCTGTGCAGAGCTGGGGTGTGGCAAGCCTGTGTCTGTCTTGGGGAATGTGTCTAAGAAGGCCAATATCCAGCTGTGGGGTGAAGAGTTCCAGTGTGAGGGGCACGAAACTAACCTCTGGTTCTGCTCCAGAGCACCTTGTCCTGGAGGCAGTTGCCAATATGGAGTAACTGTGGAAGTGGTCTGTTCAGGTGAGACTCAGAGCAGGACTTTAACTTCCCTATACAGTCTGATGAGTTAAGCAAAATGTAAGATGTTGCTGAAACTTTGTCTTGTCCTCCCAGAGTACACTGAAGTTCGGCTGACGAAAAATAGAACCTCTCACTGTGAAGGTCAGGTGGAGATGAACAGTTCTGAAGGCTGGAAAGCGCTCTGTGCTTCCCACTGGAGTATGGCCAATGCCAAAGTCGTGTGCCGCCAGCTGGGCTGTGGAAATGCCATCGCTGTCCCAAAAGGAGGAGCATATTTTGTGGAAGGAGGGAATGAGATTTGGAAAGACAGATTCCACTGCTCAGGGGATGAGTCCTTCTTGTGGAGGTGCCCTGTGACTACGCTGGGTGTTCCTGCCTGTGCCCATGGGAACACAGCTTCAGTGGTCTGCTCAGGTAGGAGAGCAGTCAGGATGACTGGTGCTCAGAATCCTTCTGGAGTGCCGTATCTCGAAAGTAGTGTGGAGAACTTATTTTAAAAGTAAAAATTCCATAGGAAAGTGGGATTTTTTTACAGATCATTCATCTTTCAGATCAGAACAAAGAATATTAAGGAATAATGTTCAAAAATAAATGTTATCATTTCATTCCAATTCTCAGGAAGCAGTATAACAATACGTGTATAGCTCTATCATACTTAAAACTGTATCAGTGAGAAGAATGTGAACAGCTCACAGATGTGACTTTCATATTTCACCCTTCTTGTGCTCATTCCTCTTCCTAACTTCTACCGCCAAATAATAGTTTCTGGGTGCTTAACCTTCATGGAAAACAATTTTCCCGTGGTCTGTGTAGCACAGTGAATGGTTCCAGGGTGATTCAAAGGAAGGTTCACCAGGAACATCTTGAATAGGTAGGTTGCAATAGTAGTACTTTGCTGCCACTGATCTCACAGAAGACTGTGTAAGCAGCAATGCAAGTGATAGGAAGTCTGTAAATATAGGTAAGGTTTCATTTCTCACCGGCTTCTCACCTCTTCTTATATGAACCAGTTAATAACAGACTATGGATCAGTATTGGTCTGGGGATGAGGGTTTGGGATCCCTGCAATAGAATGTTCTGCTAAATGGTTACAGGAACATGCATCAGTCTAATGAAAAAAAAAAAAAAAAAAAAAAAAAAAACATGGCAAATAGCTTCCAGTTCTTGATGATTGCAAATAACGATGCTACAAATTACCACAATATTGGTTGTTGGTTCCATATGTATTTACTGATTTTGAATTTTTAACCGCCACTCTTTAACTGTCTCAATGGTATGGTGCTTTTTGCGAACTGAGGTTCTTATTCTTTTTGAAGTATAAATTATCAATATTTTCCGGTATACTTAGTGTTCTTGTAAAGTTTTTATTTATTTAAACTTTAAAGAGGAACACTTCAAAATTTTTGAAAGAGAACAAATAAAAAGCAAAACAATAGTAGGAAAATTACAATAATTAAACTTTGGCATTGTCTTCATAGTGGTTATTCAGAGTACAAGATATAGGCATGATATCTTATCCAACAACATTAGCACAAACTTTTCAATGAATAAGGAAACTAGCTGTGTAACTGTCTTAACTATCTTGTGTATAAATATTTTTTTTTTCTTTTTCCTTTCCTTCTTTTCCCATTTTCGCCATTACAATTTGTCTTTTCTTATGAAGAGTTTCTCCCAATTCACATTATCTATTGTATAAATTGGACTTTATTTACTCATTCAGTTTCTCACACTGGTGAGATAATGCCATGTTTACACATATGGCTCTGATTTATTTCACTTGTGATATAATCTTGAGCTGCATCCATTTATCTATAAAAGTCTCAATTTTTTCCTAATTTATGGCTGTGTAGTATCTCATTATATTAAAAAATCCACAGCTTTTTTACACATTATTCAACTGATGGCATTCAGATCATTTCCAAGATTTAACAATTACACATTGTGCTGCTATAAACATAAGTGTTTATATTGCCGTGGTGTGATATTCTTAATTCTTTTGGAAAGAAACCCATAAGAAGAATAACTGGACAGAATGGGACCTCTAATCCTAGTCTTTTGAAGAATCTCCACACTGATTTCAACAGTGGTTGCACCAGTCTACCTTCCCTCCAACAGTGGAGAAAGATTCCTTTTTCCCCACAGCTCTACTAGCATTTATTATCCGTTGATTTTTTGATGAGAGCCATTTTTCTGAAGTGAGAGGGAACCTGTGTTGTTTTAATTTGCATCTCTTAAATGACTAATGATGTTAAACATTTTTCATGTATTTATTTTTTATTTGTATTTCTTCATCTGAGAAACATATGTTCATCTCAGATGCTCACTTTTTAATTATTTTTTTTAATTGGAGGGCTCTACTTTTTTTCAGTTCTTTATATGCTCCAGATACAAGTCCTTTGTCTGAGGGACAACTGGCTATAATTTTTTCCATTCTGTAAGTTGTCTTTTACCTCCGTTGATGATTTTTTGTGAAAAAACTTTTAATAAGGTAAGATCCAGTTTGTTGATTCTTTATAGAATTTCCCTTGAAGTCTGAGTTTTGCTTATGAAGTCTCTCCAGTTTCTCCATCAGTAAATTTAGTATTTCTATTTTAATAATTTGGTCTTTCATCCGTTTTGACTTTATTTTATGGCATGGTGATAGACATGGATCTAGTTTTAGTCTTTGGCATACGGAAAGACACTTCCCAGCACCATTTGTTAGAGACTATTTTTCTTCCAAAGAACATGTGCCTGGCTCCTTTGTCAAAGACAAGGTAATTGAGTGTTTTTAAGGTTGCAACTACCTGCTTTATTTTGTTTCACTGAAGCCTGTTTTTTGTTGTTGTTGTTGTTTTGTTTTGTTTTGTTTTGTTTTTTCAATTCTGTGCTGATTTTGCTACATCAACTTTGTAGTATAATTTCAAGTCTGGAAGTGTGAGGCCTCCTGCCATGCCTTTGTTACAGAGAATTGCTTTTGCTATTCTATGTCTCTTCTGGTTCCGAATGAATTTTAGGAATGTTTTCTCTAGATCTACAAGGTATGCTAATGATATTTTGGTTGGGATTGCATTAAATCTGTATAGCAATTTTTGAAGTATGGCCTTTTTCACTGTTGGTTCTGCCTACCAAGAGCAAAGTATCTTTCCATTTTCTGGTATCTTCTATGATCTCCTTTTTTAGGATACTATAACTTTCACTGTGCAGATCTTTTACATTCTTTATTAAATTGGTCCCTAAGAATCTCATTGTTGTAGATGCTATTGGGAAGGATGTACTTTCCCTAATTTCTCTCACTGTGAGTTTACTGCCTGTATGCAGGAATTTTATTGATTTTGAGTGTTGACTTTATATCCAACTATATTGCTGAATTTGAATGTTAAATCTTCATGTGTTTTGGTGGAGTTCTTGGGGTCTTCTATGTAGAACATCATGCCATTTACAAATAATGATGATTTGACTACTTCTTTTCCTGCCTTGTTTCTTTTTTCTCTTGTCTAATTAATTGTCCTGGCTATTTATTCCAGAATTCTTTGAATAGGTTTAATGATAATGGACATCCTTGTTTTGTTACTGTTCTTAGAGTAAAAGCTTTCAGTTTATGAATATTTAATATGATATTACCTGTTAGATTCTTTTAGATACCTTTCATCATATTTAGATAAAGACCATCTATTCTAATTTTCTGCAGGATTTTGTATCATGAATAGCAGTTGGACTTTGTCAAATGTTTTTTTCTGTATCTATTGAGATGATCATGTTATTTTTGCCACTGACTGTTAATATGGTGTATTATATTTATTGATTTGCATATGTTGAACTATCCCTGCATCGCTGGGATGGACACTTCTTGGTCCTGATGTACAATCTTCTTGGTGACTTGCTGCACTCTGTATCTGATTAAGGATTTTTGCATCTGTGTTTCTTAGAGAGATTGGCCCATAATTTTCCTTTCTGTTGTGTTTGCCACCGGTTTTAGAATCAAAGTAATGCTTGCTTCTAGACAATATTTTGGAAGTATTGCTTCCCTTTCAATATTAGTGGCATTGATTTTTGTTTAAATTTCTTATAAAATGCAACAGTGAATCTATCAATGTATGGAATTTTTTTTGATGGTAAATTTGTAATCACATTTTCAATTTCATTGGTTGATACTGAGTTATTTAGAATTTTTATATCTTTTTTATTTAGTTTTGGCAACAGGATTATTTGTCGGAATGTGTCCATTTCTCTCTGTTTTCCATCTTGTTAGAATATAGTTTCTCATAGTATGTATCAATAATCTCCTGGATTTCTGTGGAATCTAGTTTAGTTTCCCCCTTTTCCTTTCCAATTGCTGAATTTATATTTTTTCTTCTATTTGATGAGGTTGGCTAATCTTTTTTCAATTTTCTTCACTCTTTCAAAAAATCAGCTTTTTAATTCTTTGATTCTTAGTATTGCTTTCTTACTCCTTATTGCATGAATTTCTGTTCTTTATAATTTCCTCTTTCATTCAAGATTTGGGTTTGGTTTATTCGTTTTCTAGAAGTTTGAGATACAACATTAATTTTTTATTTGAGCTCTTTTTGTTTTTCTGATTTGTGAGTTCATCTCTATAAACTTTCTTCTAAGACTATTTTCAATGCATTCCATAAGTTTCAGTATGTTGAATTATCATTATCTTTTAATTAAAATGCTATGTAATTTCATCTTTAATTTCCTCTGTGATCCATTGGTAGTTCATAAGGGTGTTGTTTAATCTCCATGTGTTAAGCAGTTTTTGTGATTTTCTTTGTCATTGGTTTCCAGTTTCATTGTGCTATAGTCAGACAATATGCATGTAATAATTTCAGTTCCTCTACATTTACTTAAATATGTTTGTCAGTTAATATATGGCCTATTTTGAGAAACATCCTATATGTAATTGAAAAGAATGCATATTCTGCTGCTTTGAAGTGGAACACTTTGTAAACATCTGTCAAGTCCATTCAGTTCATAGGCTTGGTTAATTCTAGTATTTCTTTGTTGATTTTTGTCTAATTGACCTATTTATGAGAGTGGGCTATTAAGGTTTCCCACTAAATTGTGTTAGTGCCTATTTGGTTTTTTATATCTGCTAATATTTGTTGTATATAATTTGATGAACTTGTGTTTGGCACATAAATATATATGATTGTTATCTGTTCTTCTTGGAATTTCTCCTTAATAAGTATGTAGTGACTTTTTTCATCTCTTTTGATGAGTTTTGGCTTAAAATTTTCATTTTATGAAACCAGAATAACTATCCTTGATTTTTTTTTTTTTCTGGGTTCCTGTGGCCTGCACAATTGTTTTTCATTCTTTGACACTTTAGCCTGTGAATATCTTTTTGGTTTCTTTAATGCAATATATTGTTAGATCTTGCTTCTCAATCCAGTCTATTTATTTTGACTGGTTGAGATCATTCATATTGA